ACCCACTCCAGTCTGTCCCTATATTCCCATTTGATCCTGAACCCTTCCTCCCCAACACTACCCATCATCTACAGTTCTCAAAATTGTGTTACTGTTATAACATTCAATAAAAATAAAAGTATCTGAATGGAGTTCACACAGAAAACACATTCGATCCTTCAGGTCCCCTTCATACTACATTAACACTAACACTTTCAAGGGTTCCCATAAAGGCGCGTGGCTTGTGCTTCAATGCTCCTACTCTGGCAATGTACAGTGATGGCAGTGTCAGCAAATATAAATGAGAAATGCTGGCTTCAGAAGAGCCTAGTTTAATGACAACGTTGTCTGTTGTCTTAAAATAGGTCTCATTGAGGCCATGTCTCCTGACATTGCACAAAGGCATCTCCACTTTGCAATCGCTCGTGGGAGCAGGCTTGGGGGTTGTCTAACCTTGGCAACCGTGGGACTATGTAGTGAGTTTGAAGACACACTCTTGGGTCTCTCACCTGTAAACCCTGGTGCACAGATGCATGTGCCATTCAGGCCTTCACTGTCGCAGGTACCGCCATTCAGACAGCTCATGTTAGCACAGGGGTCCTTATACAGTTCACAGTGTGTCCCTGCAGAGAAGCAAACAAAAAAGGTGACCCATGGAATACTCTCTGGTCCCTGTAGCCTTCAAAAGGAAGGCGTTTCACCAGAATGTGACAGCATTGGGATAGGTTCATGATATGTATGGATGCATGTGTATGTTGCCTCTGTGTGTGTGTCATAATGTGTATGCTTGTATGTGTGTGCATGTCTATGTGTGAATGTGTGTGTGTGTGTGTGTGTGTGTGAATGCATGTTTATGTGTGTGCTTGTTAGTGCATGGATATCTGTGTGTGTGTGTGTGTGTGTGTGTGTGTGTGTGTGTGTGTGTACATCTGTTCTTGTATGCACATAAGTGTGTGTGTGTGTGCCCACTCCTCACTTTAGACTGTTATAAATTATGTCTTATTAGAAGATAACAAATTTAATCCCTGCCTATAGGCTCTACTAAGATATCTTATCCACATTTTCTCTGCATATCCCAAAGCCTATGGCATAGAAAGCCAAAAACCTGAAAGTTAAAATTTCCCAATGACTGGCCCCCAATAGCCATGCACATATAGGCAGCAGTAAAATTTACTTTAATGAATTACCAAAAAGAGAAGGAAAAGGGGAAGATATGCAGTTGGGGGGAAGTACTGGGCAGACATAGGGGAACTGGGGAAGAGATAGGATATATATGATATTATTTCGTTGTGTGTATGTATAGAATTCTCGATGAATTAAAAATCCCAATGGCAAATGCTGAGTCTCCAAAAGAAGAAGAAAATAGACAGCCTGAGAAACATTTAAACATTGGTGAATGACAACAAAGGTGAAAATTAGGAGTCAAATGTTTCAAGGATCCCAGCTCTCTTGGAGACAAGAAGAGAAGGGAAGGATTTCTCCATGCATGAACTTCACACTCAAAAGTAAATCGACACATGCTCAAGTCTCCAGGCACCCTGACAGCACATGCCCTAAGTCCTCACTGGGCACCTTATGTCTGATTTACTTCTCAGTACAACACCTAGAAGACAAAGGCACTCGTTCCCCATCTCACAGAAGGGAAACTGAGGGAAGAAGCTTCCTGCTGTCACAAGGCAGCGAAGGAAAGGAACAGGATTCAAATCCGCAGGTGAACCCTATTCAAAGTGTTTACCTCAGACCCATGCGTGCAGTTCAGCGCCCATCGAACAAAGAAGAGGCGGAAGAGCTAAGGGGTCAGTGAGATGACTCGGTAGGTAAAGGCGCTTGCCACCAAGCCTGGGTATCTGAGTTCAATCCCCAGGACCCACATGGTAGAAGGCGAGAACTGACTCCCACAAGCTGTCCTCTGACTTCCACGCACGTACTTGTGACATACATGCCCACATACACACACAAATAAATAAATAAATGCAATTAATTGTTTTAAATCCTGGAGTAAAAATGGAAAACTTCGTTTGTGTAAAAGGAAAAGTAGGACATGTTTGCACATACACATACCAATGTCTGGAGTCAGGTTGGATGACTTCCGGAATAGCTTGCTTTGATTTCCCAGCTATGTGTTTCTGCCTCATTTACCCCTCCCACCTTTTTCACAATAAATATCTTATTTTTAATTAATGAAAGAAAGACTCAGCACTGTTTGGGAGGTGGGATATCTGCTGGGAAGCTGGAGTACAAGATGGGTGAGCAGATTTCTCTCCCTGTTTCTGACTCCCTCCCTCAACCCACATCCTCTGGAGTAGAAGAAAAATTACATTTTGCTCTAGATGAGAATGCAAACAATGCAATGCTCATCCTCCCTGACTGCCTCAGGAAAAACAAGCATGAAGCAAATGACAGCGACACGATGCTGACTTCACTTACACCCCACTTCCTTCCTCGGCTCCCATTGCACAAGTGACTGCCGCACCCAGTGATTCATCCTGTGGGCTCTGACATCTTGCTGGCCTTTTCCTCTCCTTTCTTTGTCCCTGCCTTAAGAAAGGAGGCTCAAGAAAGGGGACAGAAAGAAATAAAAGCTTCCTGCCTGTATCCACAGGAATGCCCTACTTGACAGAGCGTTTTAGAATGGCAGCCCTTGATTTCTGGTTCTGCCTCATCTGCCATTTTCAAGTATTGCTCAGCATCGTGCCTGGGATTTTTCTCAAGTGTTTTTCATATCTCTCCTTTCTCATATCTCACTGCCTCATACCTGCAGGAACAGTCACTCATAACATGACCTAACTCCTTCTCTGTGTCCAGGGCCCTGAAGGGAATCTCTCTGTTTTGGTAACATGAAACTTTCTTCTACATTTGGGTATACAGGGTTTCTTCCTGAAGTTTCCATTTCTAGAGGCTGGGGATATACTTCACCCAGTGATTGATCCCCAACACCACAGAAACCAGACATGAAGCAAGAGAATCAAAAGTTTAAAGTCACCCTTTGCTCCATAACAAGTTCAAGACCTTGTTTGGGGGCAGGAGAGAAAGAGAGAGAGAGAGTCCTCAGGGAACAGCACACCATTGAATATCCAATATAAAATGGTCAGCCCTGTAAACATAATCATACAAGTAACATTATATAGACTGAGCACGTTGTGTTTATATGTTTAGAAACTATATATATATGCTGATATATATATATATAAATACATAAACAGTTAAAGAAAAGAGAAGTCATGAATCTGAAAGAGAGCAAAGGGAATGTATGGGAGGAATTGAGGGAGAAGAGGGAAGGGGAAAGGATGAAATTATAGTATAATCTCAAAATAATTTTTAAAATCAATTAAAAGAGTAGAGGCAGGGGAGTCCTCTCTGCTTCAAAATATTTATCTCAAAGATCATATGGACTGATCAACAGGAACCAGGCAACAAAAGGATCCAACTGCAATGTGAAATAAAGCCACCACCAAAGTTCAGAGTGAAGTCCAGAAGATCTGAATAGCTGCAACGAGGCCATGCTCACTGGGCACCCAGCAATCGCTAGCCAGTCTAGCCAGGTCACTAAAACTTCTAGGTTAAAAACTTCTAGGTCAAAATTTACACATTGTAAATGCATCTACGTATCTTCTCTATTTATTTGTTTCTATCATCTATATTACACAACCCAGGCTGGTTTCAAACTCACTATGTAGCCTATGATGGCCTTGAACTTGTGATCCTCCTACCCCCACCTCTCAAGTACAGGGATTACAGGTGAACACCAGCACGGCCAATATATGTGTTCCTGGGGATCAAACCACCACATCCACAGACCTGAAAGTCTCCAATAAGATAGATTTAATTTAAAAGAATCACAAGCACACAATTGCAATCTTTCATGTATCAGAACTTCCCTTCCTTTGGCAATAATTTTATTCACTGTTACTTTTCTTTCTTGATAGATACAGCATCCAGTTACCCAAGCATTCATTGGGAGATTTTTGGCAGCAAGCCTGGACAAAAGCTCATCTTAGCAGAAACATGATCCCTATGAACTGGGAAGGGCTCATGGTCCCTGGTGCATACTTGAGTCACTTGCATTTCTATAGTCTAAGCGTGGTGATCCTTCTATTAAAAAATATAGTCACAATGCCCTGAGAGTCATTAGAACAGAGTAGCAATGCACTAGAAACTAAATATAGAGAGTAGATGGGCATGGATACTCATGATACGCCTAGGTGCTTCTCCTGATCAAGCTTTCTTCTTGGGTTCTAGGGCCTACCTTCATGCCTTCCCTGACATTCCTCGGGATGCTCATCCAGTTCTGTCTTGGGCATCCTGACCATGTGACCAAACATACCTTCACCTCTTCCTGGACTGGACTTCGCCTGACAGAACTGGGCTCCTCAGTCTATTCCCAAGACAGACGCCCTTTCATTATAAAGCAGACCCTTGACTCTCCCTGGGCAAGGCAGGTTTAGACATTATGTATTAAGAACTTGCAATGATTTCCCTTAACACAGAATTCCCTGTGCCGAATCCCAGTGTATCCATTCCTCTCCCTGACTCCCCCACAGATCTCTGAGCACCTTCAGAGGAGAGCACACATCTTAATTCGTGGAAGAAACTGCAGCTACAATGCCATAACCCTGTCCTCACAGAAAGGATGACAGACAGCCAGTGTACTTTGGCTGACATGCAGGTGAGGTTGCCAGAGGAATGAGCCATGGTTCCAAATTCCAAATGGGCCTCAAAAGCATCCTATTTTGTCAGGGAAAACCAGGTCCACACTTCAAGCTAAGTCTGAGGACTGACCTATGCATCACCCATTGGCAAGGGACTGAGCATGCACAATTACAAAACATGTTTAGTCTCAAGCAAAAATAAACTACAATTCAGTCAAAATTAATAATAATTCATACTTCTCAGATTAAGGGATGGAGAATGATGTTTCTGGAAATTTTTCTATTCCAACGGGGCTCTTTCCTGAACCTAGTTTTAAAATAATCTAGACTACAAAGAGCAATGTGCCAATTATATATCTTTGTTATCCCAAATTAGTTACAATTAATATTTGAAAACCGAAAATCATTTATTTTCTTTAATCTCCCATAAAAGTAAGCTAGGTAAAGACAATCAACTAAAAATAATCTTGGAGGACTATTGCTATTTTGTTGCTGGTTTTTTCCAGTTTGCAATCCCAAGGATTGAACCTACAACCCTGAGCTTGCTAGGTAAGGAAGCACTCTACCTCTGAGTTACAACCCCCACCTCAGATATGTTCTTAGTACTTCAGTTTTAATTTATGGTGTCATCCTATTTTATTCAAATACTACTTTCTCCTTGAAACTTGCCCAGTTTTTCAACTGTTACAGAGCTCTCCATCTTCTTGAACATATCAGAAATTACAATTGGCATGTCAACCATAGCCTTATTGTCTCTTGTGCATGCCAGCCTCTGCCTGTGCTCTCCTAGTGAAGTGATGGACAAAGCTGGGAAAACTTGGACTTAATTCACTTCTGCATGGGATCACAGTGAAGGAGAAGCACACAAAATCTCCAGGATTCTCTGTTCACTCTTTAAGTAACAAAAGATACTTACTTTATCCAAAAATAAATAAATAAATATCATTCCTTCAACAGTAAAGGTGTGATGTGAT